ATAGATGATGATGTCAGAGTTCACGTAGCACCCTTTCAGTCGGGCAATTGTGCCTTGCCTTTTTTCCCCACACCCTTGGGTAGCGGTGAGTTTGTGTGGCCTGTTTGTGGAAGCAAATGCTCCCCACTCCACAACAGATTTGGGGCAGGATCCTGTCCTGTCCAGACAGAAATCCAGAGCTTCCCGAGTTCATTTTCATGTCTCCCAAGATTCCAGGCAGGATAGGGCCCTTCAGGAGGAAATGGGCACAGAAAGGACAGAGGTCAACCCGTAAAGCCTGTGCAGCAGCAGCAGAAGAAGCAGGTAGGGTTGGACACCAGATGTGAAATTCAGGGGCGCCCTTTGTTACTCCGGGGTAGTAATGTGTGGTGGCTCCAGATGTGGGGCTGGGAGGTAAATCTGAGCCAGAGAGTCCACATCCTGCGCCAGCAATCCTGTTGCTGTCGGCCTTCCCCAAAGGCCTTCGGATGGGCGCATTGCGAGCAACCCGTGTACATAAGTCCTCTGGATGATGGCTAGGGCCATCAGGTGTCCAGATTCCCCAGGCGAGGGTGGGTTTCTGACTGTGTTGTCCATGCCACCCAGTTTCGAGCCCCGAGGCTTCCGTTTTAGTTCCTTGGGACAGAGGAACCTCCTTCGTAAGCCTTCCTTCCTGACCCTGCCTCTGCCATACAAAGTCCTGGTCATATCCCACGGACATCCTGCGATGCAGTAGGGGCTGACTCTGTGGAGATGCTCCCCCAGGCCTGTGGGTGCCAGAGGTGGAATGGGTCATGTGTGGTGTCCGTGGTGGGGCTGGTTGGCTGGGCCCCAATCCTGCATTGATACCATGTGTGAGCAATACTTCCGAAGGGGGGTTGGCACCCAAGAAGGGGATTTTTTGAAAGGTCCTCCGTTCATGTATTATTGTTTGTTTCTTTGTTTTTTCCACTCGGGGCCAATTTTCTTTTCCCCCACCCACCTGAATGCCTTCTCTGATACCATTTGCTGTGAAAAACATCATTGCTTTATTTTATTTTATTTTTTGTTCTGCATTTCAATAAAGCTCATGTTTTGATACTTCCTTGGTGGTGTGTCCGTCCCTTCTCATCTGCCTGTGGGCTTCCTCACATTCTCCATTCCATCCTCAGCACAGCCATCATTGACTGTATTCTTTATTTAGTATTTTATTTTATTAGATTTATACCCTGCCCATCTAGACGAAAAGTCTATTTATTTTATTTTTTGTTCTGCATTTCAATAAAGCTCATGTTTTGATACTTCCTTGGTGGTGTGTCCGTCCCTTCTCATCTGCCTGTGGGCTTCCTCACATTCTCCATTCCATCCTCAGCACAGCCATCATTGACTGTATTCTTTATTTAGTATTTTATTTTATTAGATTTATACCCCGCCCATCTAGACGAAAAGTCTTCTCTGGGTGGCAATGACTCTGTATCCTCTCATGCCTCCTGCATCCAACTTGTGGGAATGCCTCAAGCCCTCCCTGGGTCCCAGCTCACTCCTGGGGCCTTTATTCGTCAAATTTATATACCGCCCCAGTGGTGCGACACACTGTTCTGGGTGATTTATAGCAAGATAAAAAGAGATTCCCCATGAATACACACGTCCCGCCCGGCCTCCCCACATGTTCGTCACTGGTGGATGTAAGACGTTGCAACTTTCACATGGCGGACATGTGGAACTGAGCCGTTGGCGGGCTGAGCATGCTCAGTGCAGGGCAACCTGAACATTGTTACTTTTCTATTGCAGCTCTAGAAGATTCCGAGAGGCCAGCACAAGTGCTGACTTAACCCATTAGTGTGTATTCATGGAGAATCCACTTGAAGAACCATGTTTACAGGTAAGTAACCTGTCCATCGATGGCATAAGCTTGAGAGGCGTAAATTACAACTTGGAAGCGGAGCATGAGGCAAATTCAGGGGTCAGGGCGGATAAGCAAGAAAACCTTCTCTAAAAAGGAGTGTTTTCAGAAGCCTTTTAAACATTGGAGGGAGGGGACCAAGCACAACTTCCCCCGTGAGTTGGCTCCAGACTGTTGGTGCTGCCACCAAGAAGGCCCCGGTTCTGGTAGAGGGCTCCCTGGCCTCCTTTTTTAGGAGCGTTGCCCAGACGGACCTGGTGGTGCTCGTAGGTGACCTTGGGAGAAGATGCTACTCCTCCATGTTTGGTTTGGAGGGACTTGAAGGGGTTTATACCGAAGGTGGGCACGCCAGCGGCCCCGTTCGCTCACTGCTGGGCTGGTGTTTCCATTCCCCTAGCCACCATCTGGACCCTCCTTCCAAAAGGGGCTTCCTTTAGGCCGTGGGTTGGTGGGCATCTTCCCCTTGCTTTTTTGAAAGGTGAAGGACTGCACAAAAGTTGCTCAGTCTGTGGACTGACTTTGCCTCGCAGAGATTGGTGTGGGAAGGCAGGAAGACAGCTCCTCCCGCGCTTGCCTTGCAATGCGATTCTCGTTTAAGAGGCATTTTCAGATGAAGGGGTGCAGGGTGCGACTGTTGTCATCTCAAAGGTGGATTTCCAGTGACCTCATGGGCATATTTACTCAGGAGTAAGTACCACTTCACAGCCCTTCTCCAAAAGGGGTCTAAACATTGATCCTCTGATGCTGAAGTGAGCTAAATCCACTGAAGGTTGCTTTCCGGGAAAGGAATGCCCTTCCTTATAAGCAAGCGAACCTTGATGCGATCATGTCAGATGATAGAGGAGGTAGAAACGTCCTTTTTAAGTAGCCCAGGTAGATCTCCTGAGAGTCAACGCTATGCAGTGGAAAGTGATGGGCCAGGACTCATGGGAGCTGGGTTCAAATGTCCCTTGGCTATGGAAATTCAGTGAGGTGGGTGGATGTCACTAATTAAACCATGCCACGGGCTTTGAAAACCCTTTTTAGAGATTCTCTGTACGTCAGAATCCCCTTGAGGGAACATAGCCACAGTGGGCATCTCGGCTGCTTGGGGTGGGGGTGGGGGCTTCGCTCAGGATGGAGGAGCCCAACCGGTGGAGTCTTTCTTTTCTCCTCTCGCCATGGGGAAGGCCTCGACTCTCCCACCCCAGTCATAAATTCACCCTGTACTTGGCCTTAGAGATGGGGAGGGAAGCAGGGGCCTAAGAGATGGGTGAGAGAGGGGCACGCTCCACCGGAGACGGCACAGAGTCGGCCTCTCGGCAACATCTCGGACTTGGGTTATGGCAGTCCCTCCGTCGGTGGTTGCAGATCCTGGGTTGAACGGGCAGACTCTGCCCATCACATTCATACAGTCGGTAGCTCCTTCCACGCTGGAAAGGATGGCGAGAAAAAGGGAAACTGAAACAGCTGGCCTGACTCTGCAAACCATCCAATTTCAGAGGGGAGGGTTTTTCTTCTTCCCCTTGTTAAAAAGTTTTAATAATAGACATCCAGGCTCTTTTTGCATAATAATACCCAGGTTTCCCCTGTGACTGGGGATTATGGGAATGATAACTACAAAAAAGAGGTGCTCCTGGATAAATAACATAAACCTTTGTTAACTCCCCTTTTGATTTCACATTGGCCTGATGAACATTGTTTAGGTCTAAGCACTTTCCTCCATGCCTCTGTTGGCCGGTGTGTGTGTGTGCGTGTGTGTGAGGGGGACCCTTTCATCACTGGGATGCACCCTAAGAGATAAAATTTCCTCAGAGCACTTTCTGTTTGCAGTGATATAGGGGACACCATAGCTGCTTGAGTCTTGAAAGTTGAAATACAGTAACACAATTGGGCAATATCAGGCGGTTCCCCACCTAGACATTTCTGCAGGCTGCAGACAGGCTCCTGAGATGACCCACTGAAGCCCCTGGAGGCTAAGCTTGGCAGATTTGGGAGATCCTGGCCGAACAGGCAGAGGTTTGAGGGGATATACCATCCACTGAAGGGGACACTCCAGGCTCAACATATCCTAAGCAGATCGATCACTCATGGGTCGAAAGCAACATTAAAACAGCACTTGATCCACCGCGCAGAAGCTGTTGAAAAGAAAATCCAGAATCCAGCAGGACTGTCCATATCCACTGGAGATTGGTTCAAAGCCCCATGTGGATAATGAAAACTGTGGATAATAGCAAACATTATCTATCCATCTAAGGGTAAGAGGAAAAAAGATAAGAAAAATTATTTTCACATACATTCCCAGAACTAGCCACTAGAGGGCGCCAGAGATGCTATGTATTCCTCAGTACCAAGTATTCATATCGTAGTCTCTTGGCTCCCTCTAGTGGCTGTTTTTGGTAATATATGTGAAAACAGTTTTTTCCTAGATTTTTTTCTTTTAATATTTTTAATATACCGTATTTAGACCGTGGATGAATGAAACCATGGATACTGATCTCATGGATAAAGGTGTCCTACTGTACTTATGCACCAAATGGATAAGTGTCTGGTGGAAGCTCACATGAGCAAACTCTGTGTCATAGAAGAAAAGAGATGAGAATTCCCTGCATTTTATAGGCAGGATGTGAGGGAGGGATGGGTGTGTTCCGAGTCATGGGTCGACAGCAATAACAAACCCCAAGTCAAGTCGAAGCCAAGTTATGGGTGAGACTTTAAAAAAGTTCAGTCCCACGACTCCAACCCCCATCACTGGTGCCCAGAAGTTCTTGGACTACAACTCCCAGAAGCCTTTCCCACTAGCTGTGCTGGCCAGGATTTCTGGAAGCGGCACTCCAAGAACATCTGGGGACCCAAGGGGTTGGGGAATCCCTGGAGAGCCTGGCTTACCGTTGGATCACGGGTGCTGTGCGGTCCAATACAAAGCCTGCTCGTGACCACCCACAAAAGGAAGGAGGAGCTTCGTAGTAGCTGTGGGGTGGAGAAAAGAGACAAGGGAGTGTGGCCGCCCCGGGTGCTGACGGCTGTCGGGGTCACTGGGATTCCCGGCAAGGGGCGGAGAAGTCCGCCAGTGGCTACTTGCACTTTCCCTGCAGCCCACAGGCTGAGAATTCATTGACTTGAAGCTCTTCTCATGCACTTCCTCTCCTTTTCCCGCTAGATATCACAGAAGCCATCTTTGACTTCATCCAGAGGAGCAGGAAGATGATTGTGGTCCTCAGCCCCGACTACCTGCTGGAGAAGAGCATCAGCATGCTGGAGTTTAAGCTGGGCCTCCTGTGCCAGAACAACATTGCCACCAAGCTGGTGGTGGTGGAGTACCGGCCGCTCTCCCGGGTCCACCCCAACGTCCAGCAGCTGAAGGAGTCGGTCCCCTTCATCCCGTGGAAGGGGGAGAAGTCCAAACAGCCCGGCTCCAGGTTCTGGAAGGCTTTGCGCCTGGCCTTGCCACTGAGGAGCTTGAACACCACGGGCCTCTCCGCCTGGAACGAGAGCTGCTCTTCCCATTCGGACGTGAGCCTGGACCACGTCCAGAGAAAAAGGAGGCGGTTGAAAGGGCCGTCGGAAGGCCAGCAGAGCGCCCGGCCCAAGGGCGTCCCTGTCCAAAGGGGGGCGGCCCAGCCCCCCAGGCTGAAGGCCAGAGACCACGCCAAGCCATTCCTGGCTTGCCGGTGCTGCGTGGCGTACTGCAACGAGAACCACAAACTTGGGGGCCACAGCCCAACCGTGGGCAAACCCAAGCAGGAGGGGCAGCTCCACCGGACGATGGCGGCAGGAGATCCCGCCGGACGGAGGCTCCAAAGCAGTGAAAAGCTTCGGCCGCCGGGCTCTCAGGTGTCGGCCCTGAGCCTCCGGCGTTATGCAGATGCCTCAAACAACAATGACTTTTATGTCCTCTAGCTAGCCGACTCTGGGTGGGTGAGCCTCTCAGTCCCAGGGCTTGAGAAGGAAGGGGAGTGCATCTCCCTGCAACCTGCCCTCCGTTGTGGGCCCGAACCTCTCTGCCGTGGGTGGAGGTGACAGCACCATGAGCTGTTGCATGGAGCAGTGGGTTTGCCCCCCAGGGTAAGACTCTCCGGGAGGTAGTCCTCAGTTTTAGGAGCACCTGCCCCACAAGAGTTTCTTGGAGTGAGGGGAGTTACCCCTTCCGCAGACAGACACGCCAGCAGGCAAACCGTCCTGAAAGCAGGTCCCTATCCGAACAATCCCTGGAAAAGCTAGCTCAATTGGGCTAAAGAGTTTTGAGCCAGAGATGGAGGTGTCAGTTCTGGACTGCCTACTTACAGGAGAGAATCAGGAACTCGGGGTGCAGAGTAAAGGCCCAATTGTGCCTTAAAGAGAGCATGTCATTAGAAGAAGGCACCCTTTCACTACTGAAGGGGGTCTGACTGTCGCAACATTTCACATCTCCCCAACGTCGCAAGCAAGTTTGTTTTGCTGGGTGATGGATCGTCTAGATGTCCATGCAGGCTGAATTTGTGAGTCATTTCTTGGGCATTTCTACATGTCTGGAATCACGTCTCTGAAATCGCCAACATAACTTTCAGTGAGGAAGACCTGTGAACTGTGGCAGATAGTTTCATGCTCAAGAAACTGCAGAAAAGATGGGGTGCCACTCAAGGGGAGCGAAGGTCGTGAGCAGCAGGAGAGAGCTGTGAGTGTATGACAGCTTTTCCCCACCGTTGTTCCCCATTAAGTGCCTGCTTGGATTTTCAGAACTTTGGGAAGAAAGGTGGATTTTCAGAACTTCGGAAAAGTCCTGCCGCTCCCCGGGGTACCTTTGGTAGGGAGACAAGTCAGGGACCTTTCGGTGGCTGCTCCCCAGAGGTTTTACTCAAAGCCACCGCAGGTTAAGCGAGTCTAGCCCACTGCCTCTTTCTTTTCCACCAGCTGACATCGGTCTTTTTATTTTGACTTTTTCAATGGTTGGGAAAGGGGCCATTGGTGTTGCTGATACAAAATCAGCAAACCATCTTGTGGTACCTTCAAGGCGAACATATTTTATTGGGCTAAGCCTCCTCAGACCCAGCTCTCTTCTCTCCAATGAAAATCTTTTCATAGGGATCGCCCTTGATTTTTTTAAGTCAGTTGTTTCAATTCAGGGCTGGGAACATCTGGCCCTCGAAAGGTTGAGCTGCAACGTCCGTCAGCTTGGGCCAGCAGGGTGGACAATGAGGCACAGCAGTCCATGGGCAGCCCAAGAGCATCCAGAGGGTCACAAGTTAAGCCCCTTCTGATTTGTGTTTTCAGCTGACTATGTTTTTCTCCAGATCTGTTTTGTTTTTTAAACTACATCCTCATCTTCCCTTGCCAGCATGACCATTGGTGAAGGATCATACAAGTTCTGGCCCCAAACATCTGGAGGACAGCATGATTTTGGCTTTAGATTGAGATCTGGGCTGAGTTGTCTGGAGCAGAGCAACAGCTTGGTTGGGACAGCAAAAGGTTATGTCAGTGATATGGGGCCAGAATCCTGCTATTGAATTAGTAATGCATCTGGTACCCAATGAATGACTATCAGTTTGCTGTGATGATGTACACCAGTTTAATTTGCACAAGTGTCAATCACTAGCAGGATGCTGGCCACAGCAATTATAAATAGCTTTTTTTAAGTTTTGAAATAGAAGCAATCTTTTTGGGGGTTTGTTTATATGGGACTGATGTTTCGGGCTGTTGCCATACTGAAGTCATTTTGAGGGAGGGAGGGAGGGAAGGCGGAAGGAGCTGATG